GGTGGTTTTGGCAAACATATCTTCACATTTTTGTTCTTCCTCTGTAAATAATTTTTGATTATATTTGTTATCATGTAAATAATCTTCTATTTCCCAAAATTTCTTAAGCATATAGTTATCGTCGACCTGGGCATGCATAACTATGGTATTTTTTACGTTATTTTCATCTCTTGAATTGACTACACCAGAAAGAATCCAGCCGAGACTGGTACTCTGTGCTAAAATATCTTTGTTTGGAACTCTTTTAATACCTTCCTTAATTATGCGACTATAGACACCTGCCCCCAACAAAATGTCAATTTTGTTAGGCTGATGGTATTCAGGATCTGCGAGTACGAGATTTTTTAAATGTGAATAATCAAACGATTCTACTCTTTTCGTAGGAAGAAACGATGTTATAGTTTTCAAAACATAGGCACTTAATTCGATTTTAAAATTTAAATCTATCAATGACTGCAACACTAGTTTGACTTTGTACTTTGAAACAATGGTTTTGTTGGCACCTAGACCAGATATTATTCCATTAATTGGAATTTTCTTTAATTTTAAGTACTGAACTGTAGCTTCAGTAACGAAACTGGCTTGAGATCCCTGATCTAATAAAGCTCGAACTACTTGATAATCGCCACAATGAGACTGAACTTTTACTAATGCCGTAGCTAATAAAACTTGTTTCGATTGGATTACCTTTCCAGTTGAAACATATGACGCCATTGGTGTATCTGTCGAGGAATTTATAACTTCAGATGACGTACCAGGGTTGTTCTTCTGAACTCTTGAACTTGAACTATTTGACGAACTATTATATGTAGAAGTACTGGGTATATGCAAAAGTGTGTGATGTCTCCTTTTGCATGTGTGACAACAAGTAGGTTTTTGACACTGATTCAACATATGATTACCACCTAAACAATTAAAACACATTTTTTTATTTGAAACAAATTCACGTCGTTTGTCGTAATCAAGAGTTATAAATTTCTTACAATAACACAATTTGTGAGGTTCGTTACAATATTCACAATTTATGCTATAAGAATGATCTTTGCGAGTCGCCACCATGACTTTAGGGTTAAATTGATTAGTATTTGAAGTGTATTGTTGACCTGTTGTCCTTTTAGATTCGATACATTCTAAAGCTCTAAACCGACTATGAAGAAAAGTTTTGAATTGCTCTAATGTAGGTAAATTATTAGAATCGTCACTAGAAATTGATAGTTCCCACTGTTTTCGGGTTTCTGGATCGAGCTTAAACGTAACGACATGGATTACTATAAGATCCCAAGTGCTAACGTCAATCTTTAAGTTTTTCAAAGCATTCATACAGTCCGTTGTTGTATCCAAAATATCTTTCAAAGCTGTAGCAGATTCTACGAATATGCGTTTTTGAGCAAAAAATCTCTTAAGAATACAGTTTACCAAATATTTTTTATTGTTATACCTCTTTTCCAATTGATACCAACATTGTTCGTAATTGTCTTCAGTTACAGAAGTATGACGAACGAATTGTTCAGCTTCGCCTGTTAGATGACCCTTCAAATAATGCATTCGCTGAACATTGTCGAGTGAACTATTTTTATGAACTAGGGATATAAAAAGATCATGAAATGTAGTCCATTCTGAATATTTTCCTGAAAATGTCGGAATCGTTATTTTCGGCAATTTTATTGAAGTACTGCTACTGTTGCAATTTGAACTGGTTGTTTCTAGGCTTTTAGAGTTATATGACGAAAAATTATTTAACATTAGTTTAAGCTGACATTTATAGTCTAAATACATCTCTTCAGTCTTATCAAATGTTTCTAAAGTCGTGTAATCACTGTTCTGGAATGTATCCCAATCTAAATTTAAAACAATTTTTTGATGTGTTGACATAAAAATAGACCAATTCTGTTCTAACTGTTGTAGTCTAGTCTGAACATAAGGCTCGGTTATTCGTTCTTTGGGCGATTTTTTATAATTTACCCATGCTTTTTCTATTCTATTCGACAAGTCTTTCTGCAAATTTATTTCTACTTGCATTTTGACGCACTAGTTATATGAACTTATTTATAAATTTAATATAAAAAAACAACATTTAATGACAATTATGGAAATACTAAAAATACCAGCACTTCTTTGGATTATAATTGCTTGAACTCGTCGAACTGTGCAACTTGAACTAAGCTTGAACTATGCAGGTCGTACTCGAACTAGATATAAGCGACGTACTCGAACTTGAAATATGCGACGTACTCGAACTATAACATGCGACGTACTCGAACTTGATCAGAATACTTGGTTTTTTTCATACCTGGACCTTGCCGAACTAATTTTCACCAATACAACTGTTTGTACTATAATGCAACTTTTGCATGACCTATGATTGTGTTTTGTCCATTTTACTGGCGACGAAGGACCATGTTTCTGATCCTTAGGGAAGAAATTAGCAATTGAATAAAAATATGTCTTGAAATAAAATAATTGTATTTTCTTGAGTTTTTATCAACAGAAATTAAGTCTCCATAGTAACAATATAATAACATGACACAATGAAAAAGAGTAGATAAAAATGACCATAAACAACATGAATAATAAAATTAACAATAAAAATGAATATGGTTTGCTCTTAATGCATGGTATTACGTTTTACAAAATATATGAAATAATAAAGCTAATGATTCCTGGTGAACTTATTAAATGTGTCACAATTACTTTGTTAATAATAACGGTCATAGTGTCACAAACTCAACAATCTTACAATGGGACCTACAATTAAAAATAACAAATTATCTATTTATTATCAGAATGTTCGTGGACTTAGATGTTTAGATCTTTTTAACCAAATTGCTATCAATGACTACGACATTCTCAACGTCTGAGGGGGCTCTGTGGCACCCCACATATTAGCAATTATCGTCTCCCCAGTCCGCCAATCCAGAGACCGTTTTGTTGCCCACGGCCTCAACTGGGTGAGAGTTCGCGCCTTATTGGATTCCGGTGCTCAAGGGTGTGTGGTGTCATCTTGGTTGGTTAGGCAGTTGGGCCTCAAGGTGCACCCCCATCCGCATGGCGTGAGAGGTATTGGCGATGTGAAAGTTCCCGGGTTGTTAGGGTATGTTAACTTCACGTTCACCTCATGTTATGGGTCCAAAGAGAGTATTGACGCCTCGGCGATTGTTTTGGACACTGTTATTGGTCATCACCCGTCAGTTGACTTAGAATCGACCCTGGTATCTTTGGTGTCTGACCCAGCGTTGCTCTCAAGCGAGTCTTGCAGCCAGGAGGCTTGGTAGCTCTGCAGACGACACTCGGTACGGTTGTTATGGGCCCTCCGCAACGCGTTTTGGTTTCTTCAGAGGAGGATCGCGGTATTGCTTTGAACGTGTCTCTCTCTGAAGTGCTACAGAAGTTTTGGGAGGTTGAAGAACCTCCACCGGCCCCGCGGGTTGACCCAGTAGCGCAAGAACATACATGATGAATGTACATGATTTTGTGAAATTGATTGTGAGTGCTAGCCTATTTTGGATCGCTATAAGCGCGGTTGTTGGATGAGAAGAGTCAAGAGGAATTATTCTGCCTTCCTATCCATTTCTAAGGATAGGAAGGGCCACCAAAGCTACAGAAGACTTTACTTACATACAACTTAGTAAGTCATTTAGTTAGTTAAGAAAAGCCTGCGACATCGCAGGAGCTATTGTGTTCCAAGCCCCAGCTGAAGTATTTGTTGGGACAATACAATCATTAGTTCCACTGCGCGCTCCCCTCGGCTTGGGCTGGTAGTGAACAAAACAAACTGTATAAACTGGGAATACGAGGAGACTTATTAAGATGGGTAACTTCCTATCTCTGTAACCGCATGCAGGCCGTGGTCATTGGTGGCTTCAAATCCGATTATATAATAACTAGCAAACCAGTGAACCAAATGTTCACCAAAACCTGATTTCTCGAAAACCGGAAGTGTTACGTTACTCAAATCCGGTTTGTAGTCTTATCAGACTATTCTTAACTTATAACTTAAATATTCTCTTTATCTATCTCTTACGGTTTGGCCGCTGAAACAGCACCACAGACAGACGGACTTGTCTAATAGATAAGAGATTCCATCAGGTGTTCCCAAGGGTTCACATCTCGGTCCTTTATTCTATTGCGCTTATATCTACGATATAGCTCAATGCCTCAAGTTTTCAAACCATCTTCTTTATACGGATGACAAAAAGGTGTTCCTGAGGGTAAAATCTATTGAAGATTGTAAACTTATTCAGCAAGTCCCAACTCGCCAGATGGGAAAGTTGTATACACAACTTGTCTCTTTAATGCCTACTGCCCTCCTGACTGCATCGGTCGTGTATCTCTATGTTCATGTCACGTAAATTACACTCAGCGCACGGTTAGTTATTCATATGTATCAAATTACAATAAAGTAGTTTGTAGTATAGTATTGTCAATAATCAATCTTTCGCGAATTTGACACAACAAATAACATAAAACGCAAAATCAATTACCAAAAATTTGACAGTTGTAGAATAGCGAAAACCTAGGCATTCTATACATAATACATAAAAAATCAATAACATTATTGTTCATGCCGGCACTCCAGAATTGCTATTGGTATTTGCTATTTGTTAACTTGACAAAAGGGTTGTCAATAAAGAGTGAAAGGGAAAGACTGTTGTCAAGTTTACATATAGCAAATACGAATAGCGATATGAAGCGTCGGCATTAAATGTTAGATTGTCTTGCCTGTTCTTCATAACACAACAACGATGGAAAAGTCTCAAATACTTTTGTAGTTAGGAACACTATCATCATCTTTACCAGCCTAATAATCAAATGGGACACTCGGCCGCGACTCACCACGAGGGCGGGATGGATTGGTGGGTGCTATTTTACTCTCACACACACACACGCACGCACGCACGCACGCACGCACGCACGCACGCACGCACGCACGCACGCACGCACGCACGCACGCACGCACGCACGCACGCACGCACGCACACACACCCACACACTACACTCACCTGCACGCCCGAGGTGGAGGCCTCGCTGTCGTGGTAGGCAGCCGCCACGCTGTCAGCGTGTTGCCGGCATAACACTGCGCATCTGCAATACGAACGCTCATGTTACTGTTGTGTTTCTGACGGTGAATAAGGTCCCAGGGTAGGGGATTGGTTGAGGGTTGGCAACAGCACGAGTGATATTTTTAGTCTATAAGCTGTGGTGTCGCTTACAATCATCAGCGGGTCATATGCTTGTTTGACACACTTAGCATTAAACAAATTTATTTATTTATTTTGGAAACTTAATAGATTACAGTTTTTGTTGTCAAATTTGTATAATAAATATAAACTTTCCGTGAAAAATAGTGCGACTGAAAGTAAAAGTCGAAATTAAATATGTATGTTTTATTGTTTAAGAGTCATTATTTCTGAGAGTAGCGGATATACAAATAGATGTAGAAAGCGACAGTTTTTATACTATGTAAGATATATGTTTGAAACGACCTAAATATAATCCGCTAGATGACTACGATCGCGCTTGAAATTGTTTATCGCGCATTATTAATCCTGTTAATGAAAAAAAATAACACTAAAACAGTGAAAGAAAATTAGAAAACATCGCCGCATGCGCTCACTACAATCGATGCTAATAAACAGTATCTTGTTTAAATTATATACTTTTTCACTGTATAATAGACCTATGAATAATATCATTTTTTTTAAATAAAACTCGTTTTTACGGGTTAATGCATGAAACTTTATTTATTTATTGACGTTTCGTAGCCTTTAACCGTAAACTACCACCAATTCTAAAATTGGGAGACCTTTCTGAGAAGAACCGGCGAAAGAAGGAGGTAGAAAGCCTCTCTTGAGTTTGTTTCGCCGGTTCTTCTCAGAAAGGTCTCCCAATTTTAGTTTACGGTAGTTAGGGTCAAATAAATAAACTGAAAATTACAAAAAAGAATTTTAAATAAAATACTTTATGAAGTAAATTAAAGAATAAATTCATACATAGACGATAAAACTTTAAAAATCGAACAATTAAATAACCGAACGCTCAATGAAAGTCTTTCGAAGGTAGCTCGACAAATTAAATAAAAGTTTGATTCTGACGACGTAGCCCGTAAAGGCTACGAAACGTCAATAAATAAATAAAGTTTCGTGCATTAACCCGTAAAAACGAGTTTTATTTAATGAGTGATGTGCGTGAAAACCTAAGAAACAAATATCATTTCTTTTTCATTGATAAAAATTAGAATATTTTACTGTCGATAATGTTACCAGTAGTGGTAATATGTACCTGTCGCAGAGCCCCTGCTTGATGGAGTTCTGCAGACAGCCGGAGGTGGTGATGGTGATGAGCTTGTGCCCCACCAGCCACGTCATCGACTGCCCGCCCGTGAACAGGAACTCGGCCAGATCAGTCCTGCGAATATGGTCATATTATTACATAAACTTATATTTGGCTTATATATAGTGTGTTGCCATTGGTGTCGATTCTAGCATGATTCTCTAAACCTAAACTTAAATTTGACAGCAGTAAATCCTTGTCATTCTCTATACAGAATGAAAAGGAGAGACTGATGTTAAATTTAGATTAAGTTTAGAGAATCACGCCAGAATTGGCACCAATATCTATATAAGATGAAAAGGACAGATTGATGTTAAATTTAGTTTTAAGTTTAGATAATCCTGCCAGAATCGAAACCAATATAAGCTTACAAGATAATAAGTTAAAAGAACTATAATGTAATAGCCGGAGAGCTGACAGCCATTTTTGAGTACATCCTTGAGGCACATTGAAAATATTATTGTTGATTAGTTGCGAATGTGTGGATGATGAAATGGCCGACCTGGCTGGGAGGTTGCGGGGCGTTAATGAGCTATGAATTTTTTAATTCGCAATTTTTCTCATGCAGAAAATGTTCTTGAGGCACTTTGAATCTTACAGCATTTTAAAGTCTGATGTTTAATTAAACGATATATCATAATGCCAGGCGATTTGGTTGGGATTTAAATGGTGACAGGCGATTTAAAGTTATATTTTTTTTTGCGCAAAAAATGTACTTGAGGCAAGCTGGGATTTATACACAATAATTGTTGTGTTGATAAGATGCCATATATCAAATGACAGGCCGTTCTGGCGGTTATTTAATCTTGCCAGGTGATATCATTTTATTATTATTTATTATAAAAAAATAAATTTTTACAAAAAATTTTTGATATACTTTTTATGTAATTTTTTTTATTCATCGTTATCTGATGGAATCTCCTCGTCGCTTGTGAACTCGTCCATAGAGTTGAGTTCTATGAACTCTTCTTCATTGTCTGAAAATAAATAAAAAAATTTAACAAATGTGAAATACAATCAATAGTGCGAGTATTTAACAAATTATTATTACATACCTGTAGCATTTTCATCAGAGTGTTCAAATGTCCCAGGATCAATTGCATCTATAACTAATTGCGGCATGCAATCCCCATCAAACCAATAAAAATCCAATTTATCCTCCTTCAGCTGCCATCCATGTTCAGTGGGTTCTAGGTTACTTGGAAAACGTAAATGTGCATTTCTCCAGATACTTGAAACATATTGAGCTCTTAAAAGCTGTTGGTGCAACTCTGCTTTACATGGTGGTAACCACAGAACAGAGAAAGAGGTTAGAATGGCCTTGTGGGCGGGGCAGGCGCGTCCCAGTTATGAGCAAATGCTCATAACCTAACCGTTACGCGCGATCGCGTCGTTTAGTTGCTCGCGCACGTTCAGTGAGAGAGTATTGTGATTATCGCTTAAAATATGCCTTCGTGTGCTGTAATTACTTGCAAAGCAAGGAGTCAAACATCAAATCTACCTAAAGCAGGAATTTCTTTTCATCGGTCAGTATAAAACTTCTTAGTTAGACTGATATTTTAGTAAAAATTCGTGAAATACTAATTATACGATAAATCACATATATATTTCCATAAAAATATTCATTGCTGACAAAGTACGCTCGTCATTCTTTCGACGACGTTCAAAACACGTAATGTAGTAAGGTTCAAGCAAGAATGACGCATGGACCACAAAGCGCTGCACGTGGCCGCATGCAGTACAAGGTCATTGCACACAGTAGGTACAAACTACCACAACTTTAGTGGTGTCTTGCGTCGTACACTTTACATTGTCGATAGATTTTATCGATGGAATTTTAGCACCTAATAATGGAATTAAAGTAACTTTTATAAATAAATAAAAGCTGATTGTAAATGTATGTACAATATAAATATAAAGCTAAATAGTTTGTTTGTTTGATTGGTTGAAAGCGCTTTTATCAGGAACTACTGATGCGATTTAAAAAATCTTTTTGTGTTGGGTAGTGCATTTATTGAGGAAGGCTATAGATTAATAAAACATAATAATACGACTAAGAGGAGCGGAGCACCAATAAAAAAATATGGAAAAGACCCATTTGAGAGAATCCGTTGTGTACGCTGCATAAAAGTTACGTAAAAGTTACACAAAAATCATATATACCGGAATTGTTCTTCTTTAAAAGTTTTATAAAAAAGCCCGCTACAGCTAATGTCTATCTTTTAAGGGTGACCCTCTATTACCGAACTAAATTTTACTGATTTCAGTAAACAAGTCATTGGATACATAGCAGGCAATGTTGTTCATGTCCTAATAAAAAAAATCAAATGTGATATTTGCACTGGAGCCCTAATATCACATACAAGTAATAATTTACATAAATTTATTTTGGTAAAAGATAAAGGTGGCCTGATATATCCGTCTGGTGATGTAATAAAAATATGCGAAAGTGCAGAAACTGTAATACGAAAACATACAGATAATTTGAAAAATGTCCAAAAACTAATTTTTGTCCCAAAAATATTAAAAAAGTTTATTGGCACTTCATTATTTGATGACATATCTTTCATCAAGTCGGTGAATTCCCATATTCTAACCACGTAACAGATTTAATGAAAGCGGTAATTGAAAAATACATAGATATCCGTCTACATTTCTTATTGAAAAATAACTTTCAAAAAGAAACAAAGCGTCACCTTTTAAATAAATATATATAGTTTCAAGGTCAATAAATAACTATCTGTTTTTTTCTGTATTTTTACTGACTTTGACAGGATACAAAAATTACCATACTATCAAGTCAAGTCCAACTCACACTTGGCATATTTAACATCGATAATATTTCATCGACTCAGTGCTCACCTCTAGCGAAAAATCGGTGTGAACGAATGAACGCTCACAGACACGGCTGTTGTGTGTTGTGAGCGCTGATTCGTTCGGTTGCTTGATGTCGCGTCGTTTGATTGGCTTATTATCTGTTAGCTGGAAGTGTAGTGGGGGCGAGCCGGCTACATCGGTTTTCATACTGGCGATCGCTCATCACCCTTCTAACCTCTTTCTGTGTTCTGTGGTGGTAACGTAGACGGATCATAGTTTTTGACAGTTTTTTTGAAAGGCTCTTCCGTGCTCTTAGCTTTAAATGTCTTGCAAAATTTTTCAAACCGTGCTATGTTTATATCTGCGATATTATTGACACCGTACATTTCACACACGAACTTCTCAAGCATGTTAAAAACCTCATTGCGTAAATCTGTCGTATGCGCACAACCTAGATCAATAAACGCTTTTTGATACAGTTTATTTTTCATTAATAGTTGGAAAGGCCTCCGCTTGCCTTTATTAAAAAATGAAGGATTGTAGTCACACCCAGTGACTGCATGAAAGCCAGGCAAACTTGCGCATACTGAATTTCCGAATTTGGCATATAATTGTGATATATCAATGAATCTTCTTCTATTTCCAGTGCCGTATTCCATAAAAATATTCAGTTGGTCGCTATCAAGATGATCCATGTTTCCAAGCATTATAACAAACCCGCTATGCCGCTCACTCGCACTCACAGGCAACTATTATTATCACCTGGCAAGATTAAATAACCGCCAGAACGGCCTGTCATTTGATATATGGCATCTTATCAACACAACAATTATTGTGTATAAATCCCAGCTTGCCTCAAGTACATTTTTTGCGCAAAAAAAAATATAACTTTAAATCGCCTGTCACCATTTAAATCCCAACCAAATCGCCTGGCATTATGATATATCGTTTAATTAAACATCAGACTTTAAAATGCTGTAAGATTCAAAGTGCCTCAAGAACATTTTCTGCATGAGAAAAATTGCGAATTAAAAAATTCATAGCTCATTAACGCCCCGCAACCTCCCAGCCAGGTCGGCCATTTCATCATCCACACATTCGCAACTAATCAACAATAATATTTTCAATGTGCCTCAAGGATGTACTCAAAAATGGCTGTCAGCTCTTGGGGTATAATAGAAAGAGCGCATGTTTTTTACGCAAAGAAAATATGAGTTTAATAGTGTTGCGTACAGTTTAGTATGCAAAGGTAGCTTGTTTCTCGTAAGCAGAAGTAGAGTATCGCGCGAGCAGATCCACGCAGGTCTCGGTGAGCTCGACGTGGAATGTGTCAGACAGTGTCTCACGCGGCACGCGGCAGACAGGCCTCACCTCTGCGGCTTGACGCTGGCGGGGGTGGTAGAGTATCGCGCGAGCAGATCCACGCAGGTCTCGGTGAGCTCGACGTGGAATGTGTCAGACAGTGTCTCACGCGGCACGCGGCAGACAGGCCTCACCTCTGCGGCTTGACGCTGGCGGGGGTGGTAGAGTATCGCGCGAGCAGATCCACGCAGGTCTCGGTGAGCTCGACGTGGAATGTGTCAGACAGTGTCTCACGCGGCACGCGGCAGACAGGCCTCACCTCTGCGGCTTGACGCTGGCGGGGGTGGTAGAGTATCGCGCGAGCAGATCCACGCAGGTCTCGGTGAGCTCGACGTGGAATGTGTCAGACAGTGTCTCACGCGGCACGCGGCAGACAGGCCTCACCTCTGCGGCTTGACGCTGGCGGGGGTGGTAGAGTATCGCGCGAGCAGATCCACGCAGGTCTCGGTGAGCTCGACGTGGAATGTGTCAGACAGTGTCTCACGCGGCACGCGGCAGACAGGCCTCACCTCTGCGGCTTGACGCTGGCGGGGGTGGTAGAGTATCGCGCGAGCAGATCCACGCAGGTCTCGGTGAGCTCGACGTGGAATGTGTCAGACAGTGTCTCACGCGGCACGCGGCAGACAGGCCTCACCTCTGCGGCTTGACGCTGGCGGGGGTGGTAGAGTATCGCGCGAGCAGATCCACGCAGGTCTCGGTGAGCTCGACGTGGAATGTGTCAGACAGTGTCTCACGCGGCACGCGGCAGACAGGCCTCACCTCTGCGGCTTGACGCTGGCGGGGGTGGTAGAGTATCGCGCGAGCAGATCCACGCAGGTCTCGGTGAGCTCGACGTGGAATGTGTCAGACAGTGTCTCACGCGGCACGCGGCAGACAGGCCTCACCTCTGCGGCTTGACGCTGGCGGGGGTGGTAGAGTATCGCGCGAGCAGATCCACGCAGGTCTCGGTGAGCTCGACGTGGAATGTGTCAGACAGTGTCTCACGCGGCACGCGGCAGACAGGCCTCACCTCTGCGGCTTGACGCTGGCGGGGGTGGTAGAGTATCGCGCGAGCAGATCCACGCAGGTCTCGGTGAGCTCGACGTGGAATGTGTCAGACAGTGTCTCACGCGGCACGCGGCAGACAGGCCTCACCTCTGCGGCTTGACGCTGGCGGGGGTGGTAGAGTATCGCGCGAGCAGATCCACGCAGGTCTCGGTGAGCTCGACGTGGAATGTGTCAGACAGTGTCTCACGCGGCACGCGGCAGACAGGCCTCACCTCTGCGGCTTGACGCTGGCGGGGGTGGTAGAGTATCGCGCGAGCAGATCCACGCAGGTCTCGGTGAGCTCGACGTGGAATGTGTCAGACAGTGTCTCACGCGGCACGCGGCAGACAGGCCTCACCTCTGCGGCTTGACGCTGGCGGGGGTGGTAGAGTATCGCGCGAGCAGATCCACGCAGGTCTCGGTGAGCTCGACGTGGAATGTGTCAGACAGTGTCTCACGCGGCACGCGGCAGACAGGCCTCACCTCTGCGGCTTGACGCTGGCGGGGGTGGTAGAGTATCGCGCGAGCAGATCCACGCAGGTCTCGGTGAGCTCGACGTGGAATGTGTCAGACAGTGTCTCACGCGGCACGCGGCAGACAGGCCTCACCTCTGCGGCTTGACGCTGGCGGGGGTGGTAGAGTATCGCGCGAGCAGATCCACGCAGGTCTCGGTGAGCTCGACGTGGAATGTGTCAGACAGTGTCTCACGCGGCACGCGGCAGACAGGCCTCACCTCTGCGGCTTGACGCTGGCGGGGGTGGTAGAGTATCGCGCGAGCAGATCCACGCAGGTCTCGGTGAGCTCGACGTGGAATGTGTCAGACAGTGTCTCACGCGGCACGCGGCAGACAGGCCTCACCTCTGCGGCTTGACGCTGGCGGGGGTGGTAGAGTATCGCGCGAGCAGATCCACGCAGGTCTCGGTGAGCTCGACGTGGAATGTGTCAGACAGTGTCTCACGCGGCACGCGGCAGACAGGCCTCACCTCTGCGGCTTGACGCTGGCGGGGGTGGTAGAGTATCGCGCGAGCAGATCTACGCAGGTCTCGGTGAGCTCGACGTGGAATGTGTCAGACAGTGTCTCACGCGGCACGCGGCAGACAGGCCTCACCTCTGCGGCTTGACGCTGGCGGGGGTGGTAGAGTATCGCGCGAGCAGATCTACGCAGGTCTCGGTGAGCTCGACGTGGAATGTGTCAGACAGTGTCTCACGCGGCACGCGGCAGACAGGCCTCACCTCTGCGGCTTGACGCTGGCGGGGGTGGTAGAGTATCGCGCGAGCAGATCCACGCAGGTCTCGGTGAGCTCGACGTGGAATGCTGCCGACGCTGACGCCGAACTGCTCCCTGCCGACTGCCGCCCCATCGGTACTCGCGATACTGCTTTGGAACCCTGCAATCATTTACTCCGCGCTTTTATATGTCCACACACGCCATTCAAACACGTGTGATACATTTTGCCCCCTAACTGAATCATTAAAGTGCGCTTTCAACCGAATGAAATGTTACTTTAATTATTATTTTTGCAGAGTTCTACTGTTTTGAATCAAATTTCCATTTGATTATTAAAAAATTTGACACTCTTATACAAACTGTGTAAAGTCGGTAATTATTTCATTGAAGTGTGCGTGGTGTGATGTGTTAGTGTAGGGCAGTATATTGTTACCAGACTGGAGCTGCGCTGTCGGTTGGAGGAGTCCTCGTTAGCGGCGGTGCTGCTGGAGGCGGCGTGGAAGTAGTTCGACTTGTACTGCAGCTGCTCCTCGAACGGCAGGATTATGTAGTTGTGGAGGCCCTGCACATCGACATACATTCTCAACCACGCTAACGATCTTCTTTATTGATGCATTACGATATATCCATTCCATGGTTAAAAGTATTAGGAGTTTAAGAGAAATAGATAACCATCAAAAATTTTAAATTTAAATTGCTTTTTGTCAGTTGGCACTTTCGTCTCTCGGCGCACTAAACGCATTAACTGATTATTTATTATCGAAATTAAAATGGACAGATGGACGCCTCGAATTTAATTCTCTTGAAAGTTTCTATAATTTAGTTTTTAACTAGCAGCCCCGTAGTACGTCGTATCGCTTACAATAATTTGGATGAAACGATGGACCCGCATCTACCGTATTGAAGAGATGAACGTCAAATGTTTGATAGGAAAGTAGGTAGAATAGTTTATATGGGAAAAAATAATATTAGTTTTTGCTGTGTTCATCCCAATTTTTCCACATTTTCTGACCGTTTGAATTTTCCCTGGACTACGACAAATATTTCAAAACCATGATAAATAGGCCCAGCCATTCTCGAGACAAATGAACCACAATTGATTTTTATATATATAAATAACAGTTTCATGGTGTCGGCGATTAGAGAGATTCCGGGATCGAATCCCGGTGGGGGCAGATGTTTGTGTGATGAATACGAGCATTTGTTCTCCAGTCATACATGTTTAATATTTATTTCTATATAAATATACTTAAATATGTACAATATATGTATTCTATCTTAGTATCCCATAACACTAGCCTTAGAGTTCTTACTTTGGGGCTAGGCTAATTGGAGTGATTAAAGAAATAGCAACGGAAAAATCAGTTAGCTTCTAATAAACTAATTCATGTTTTTTACAACGAAATTTTTTTATATTAAAACTGGATTAACGTATGTATATTTTAATACAGATAGCATGCGTTGACAAATTCTGGTACGTCTTGGATTTTCACAAGTCCAGTGTGTACTTTCACATTGCGTAAACGATTTCGAAGTTAAAACTTTTGATGTTTGACAACATTGACGACCTCCGAGGCGTCGCCTACTTGAGAGGTCGGGTTCGAATCCCGGTGGGGGCAGATGTTTGTGTGATAAATACGAGCATTTGTACTCCAGCCATGGATGTTTAAAACGTATTTCTATATAAATATACTTATATATGTATTGTATACGTATTCTATCCGTTACCCTAGTATTCCATAACACAAGCCTTTCTGTGCTTACTTTGGGGCTAGGCTAATCGGTGTGAGTGTTAGTAATTTTTATTTATATGCAACTAGCAAACCAGTGAACCAAATGTTCACCAAAACATGATTTAAAAAAAAATGTATTTAATTGAGAACTTCGGAGATTTTGTGTGGTTTCGTTTGAAATTGGTGATTTCTCGAAAACCGGAAGTGCTACGTTACTCAAATCCGGTTTGTAGTCTTATCAGACTATTCTTAACTTATAACTTAAATATTCTCTTTATCTATCTCTTACGGTTTGGCCGCTGAAACAGCACCACAGACAGATGGACGGACTTGTCTAATAGATAAGAGATACTGACGTGCTCGATGGCGCAAGTGGTTAGCGCGTTCGGCTGCGATCGTTGAACTTAAGCAACTTTCGCAGTGGTCGGTCATTGGATGGGTGACCAAAAATTACTATCTCGAGCTCTTCCGTGCTTCGGAAGGCATGTTAAGCCGTCGGTCCCGGCTGCATCTGCGGTCGTTTCCAATCCGCACCGGGCCCGCGTGGTGGGTCACGGCCCGCACTCCCTATTCCATCCATAGGTTCAGGCCTGCGCCCCAGCAGTGGGAACATTAATAGGCTGACGATGATGATCAATACTGACGTGGATGATGAACCGCACGAAGTTGCGTCGGTAGGAGAGGCGGCACTTGAGGAACCAGGCCGCGATGACGTGGTGCGCCAGCGACACCACGTAGTGGTTGTAGCGCGACGGGTTGGTGTACGGCAGCAGGATCGCGAACACCGACATGTACTGATGATGATGATGATCAATACTGACGTGGATGATGAACCGCACGAAGTTGCGTCGGTAGGAGAGGCGGCACTTGAGGAACCAGGCCGCGATGACGTGGTGCGCCAGCGACACCACGTAGTGGTTGTAGCGCGACGGGTTGGTGTACGGCAGCAGGATCGCGAACACCGACATGTACTGATGATGATGATGATCAATACTGACGTGGATGATGAACCGCACGAAGTTGCGTCGGTAGGAGAGGCGGCACTTGAGGAACCAGGCCGCGATGACGTGGTGCGCCAGCGACACCACGTAGTGGTTGTAGCGCGACGGGTTGGTGTACGGCAGCAGGATCGCGAACACCGACATGTACTGATGATGATGATGATCAATACTGACGTGGATGATGAACCGCACGAAGTTGCGTCGGTAGGAGAGGCGGCACTTGAGGAACCAGGCCGCGATGACGTGGTGCGCCAGCGACACCACGTAGTGGTTGTAGCGCGACGGGTTGGTGTACGGCAGCAGGATCGCGAACACCGACATGTACTGGTCCTCCACGAACGACGCGAACACCATCGGCAGACGCGTCAGGGCTAAACAACAAGGGGACGCACTCTCACAACACTACCTTCGCTTCATTCAAAGCGTGTTATTACAATGACTTGCGCACACGAACAACTTTTGTCCGCGGAGGACAAAGGGGCCGTTCGAGTATTACGTAAGCACTATAGGGGGGCTGGAGGGTCTTCCCTTTGCTTATTTTTGATGACACGGGGGGATGGGGGGGTCGAGATATTCATTACGTCAGCATCATGGATTCGGTGCCATGGACTGAAGACTGTTAATTGGAATTAATATGTATACCAAAAATTAGAAAAAGGTGTGTTTAGTTCGTAATAGTACTTAATGAGATTATAATATTTGTACCTTTCTCTATGTTGAATACTGTGTCAATCGATTTTATTTAAATTAATATTATGTGCGTTAAAGTGCTATATCCTAAGCCTATTTAAATACTGCTGCTCATGAAGCTCATGAAGATTATTTCATATATGTTTTTTTTATTAAAAAAAACAAAATACATTGAAGGAAAAATGCATATAGGTACCAATGTTTACGTAAGCATGGGGGAGGGGGGTTAAAGCTTTGCTTACTTATGCTGACAAGGGGGAGGAGGGGGTAAATAATTATAATAAATCTGCTTACGTAATACTTGAACGGCCCCAACGTGCTAAATAGGGTATTTGACAAGTTTTAGAAAACGATCTCACGCTATTAACTGATGTTTACGGAGTCTATAAAAAGTGGATATTTTAAATTCTGCTGTGTGATTCAGTAAAAAAATCTAAATTCAATTTTCAAGTTGTTGCTAAAACGTTTCTTAGGACATTATTGTTAAAGGAGTTTATATTCTTTTGATAAATACTCTTTATAATTTTGTTAAGCCTATTTTTGTAATCTGTCATGTGTGTGTCATAGCAACCGTTGTTTTCTATTTTAATAAATATTATTCTAATCTGTCATGTGAATGCCGACTTTATTATTTCATTGTACAGTTTACTTGTACATAAAAATTTGCTAACACCGCGAACGTCACTCAGGCCGCGTCAATGACCCGCGTTTACCTAGAGTGTCACATTATCGTAATTATAAATTATTATTTCTTTATTTAAAGACAGTGCAATTAGAAACGCGAACTAATTAACACACATTAGAGACAAGAATAGCCTACACCTTAACTGTAACTTTGTTTACAATATATCTCGGTATTTATCTCTCTCTGATCTTTTTCTCCTGCACTCCAATTAACTAAATCTCAACAACAACTACATTAAAAGGTGTACAAACTGTACATTTTTTGGTCCTTCGACAATAAGGATTCGGGAGTTTTTTGTGTCTCTAACTCAGTGGCGAATCGGTCCAGCTGGCCTCTCACAAGCGAGAATCCCCAGTAGTATTGAGAAGGCGCACACACTGTTTGAGAGTGCATAAACACCGGAATCTGGATACGACCAATTTTCAAGCTTGAAATTGTGAAGATTGCGAATCATCAAGTGGTCTTCGTGTCGTGAATCAACGCAAAACTCTACCTCTGTCACTGTCAACTACGTGCCAGCAACATGGACAAATTGGAGATTCAATCAACTTGCTACGCGAATATCAAGACCTTGTGTGTCAACTATCGCAAGGATTCTTCATCTCGAAAAAACGAAGAGTATCTTAACATACGTTTGTCATCCCTGGAAGAGCAATGGAGCGACTTCGAGGCAAGACATGCTCAATTGGTACTCGAACTTGAAGACAAAACTATCAACTATTTAGCCGACGACGTGTATGGAAAACTTAAGGAGATGTACTTAGCAACTAAAACGGATATTAACAGCAGACTGAAACTATTGGAACAACAAAAACGAAGTGTGAAGTTTGACTTGGCGGGAACCTCGGGGGAAGACACTCAAGTACGGGAAGGTGACAAAACATTACAACAACTATTAAACAAACAGGAATGCAACTTTAATGCAATCTACCGTACTATGTCTAAGATTGACATTATCAGCATCTCTGAAAAATGGGAGCTAGAAGACAACCTAAATATTTTGAAGTCGAAATGGGAGCCCATCGACAAACTGCACTGGGAAATCGATTTTCATTTGAAGGGATCTAATGACCACTATTATAGCATGTTCTCGGATATTGAAGATAAATATGATGAACTACGAAAACAGCTTCATTCCAAAATTTGGTCGAGTGCTCACTACCAACAATCTGTACCAAAGGTGGAAATTCCCGAATTTTCCGGAAATTACAGCAAGTGGATTTCTTTTAAGGATCTATTTCTTGAAACTATCCATAACAACCCAGCTATAAACAAAGCTCAAAAAATGAAACATCTGAAAACTAAATTGAAAGGTGAAGCTGAAAGTCTGGTGCAGCATCTCTCCGTATGTGCCGAAAACTATCACTCCTGTTGGGATATTTTAGTGCAACGTTACGATAACCGACGTTTACAGTTTTCATCATTTTTCAACGCAATGATTCATCTTCCCACCATACAACAGCCAGACGCTAATAATCTCAAGAAAATGCATGATGTGATCAGAGAATGCATGAATGGCATAGCTAACATTGGGTTGGAAACTTCAACCTGGGATCCAATGATAGTCCATTTAATGTTACCCAAACTGGACTCAACTACACTTAATGACTACATGAATGAAATAAAAGATCATAGGGAAATACAAAATTTACAAGATTTTCTATATTTTCTGGAATGCAAGTTTATGGCGTATGAAACTGCAAGATCTACAAAAACTGCAAGAGGGAATTCAACTACGGAAAAAACTACTTTTTGGAAACCAGTCAGCAAACAACCTGTGAAAAAATCATACGGTGATTTCAAGAAAACTTATAATTATCATACTGCCTATGGAAAATGTCCCAATTGCGACGGAAATCACGTTTTAATGCAATGCGCAAAGTTCATCGACATGGACACGGCGCAACGAAACTACACAGTTGCGAAATTGAAAATCTGCAAAAACTGCCTTTTCAGACATAACAACGAAGAATGTAAATCGGCGAAAACTTGCAAGGAATGTAATTTGAAACACCATACGCTATTGCACAACTCTAATCGAAAATTATTGAATGAGAAAAATAACATTGGACAGCAACCGTCAACATCTTCGCAGCGACAAGCCTCAAATCACTTATCTTCAGATAACACGGAGATTTTACTAACCACAACCCAGCTGAAAATAAAAACTATGGATGGAACTTATGTAACCCTTCGGGCCCTCCTCGACCAAGGCTCGCAAGTGAATTTAATAACTGAAAATGCCGCACAAATTTTGAGGCTCCCTCGGAGGAAACTGGCTGCAACTATCTCTGGAGTTGGTTCTGTTTCCGGTGATTGCAGGGGACAACTAAACTTGACCTGTAAATCAATAAACTCTGAATACAATTTTGAAATACAAGCACTGATCATGAAGAAATTGACTAACAACTTACCAAATACAACTTTTGAAAAATCCAACTGGCCGCACCTACAAAACTTAAAACTAGCCGACCCAGACTTCAACATATCCCGCCCTATCGACTTACTGCTGGGAGCCGATGTTTACTCGGAAATTATCCTCGACGGAGTCTTGAAGGGAAGCCATCAAGCCCCAGTAGCTCAACAAACACTTTTAGGCTGGATCCTATGTGGAAAAATGAAAACATTCAACTGCCATGTCACGTTAATCAACTTGGAAGAACTGACAAAATATTGGGAAACAGAAGAAATCCAGAATACTGAAGATCTCCAAAGACGACCAGTGTGAACAATTTTATTCGCAAACAGTACAACGAGATCCTGAAGGGAAATATATAGTGAAGATGCCTCTCATCCCCAACTATGAAGAAAAACTGGGATCATCGAAATCAATCGCTATTTCTCAATTTATACAACTAGAAACACGACTTTCAAGAAACAAGAAACTATCAACTATGTACAAGAAGTTTATGGAAGAATACGCGAACCTGGGTCATATGGAACCGGCGTCTCAAATTACATCTACCAGCTGCCACTTACCACACCACGGTGTTTTGAAAGAAAGCTCAACAACAACAAAACTGAGAGTTGTATTTAATGCATCTCAAAAAACCTTGAGCGGTTACAGTTTGATCAGCCTCCTTGAAAAAGGACCTAACCTACAAAAAGATATCCAGGCACTTATTTTAAAATGGAGAACTTACAAATATGCATTCACCGCCGACATTGAAAAAATGTATCGCTGCATATGGATTAACAAAGACCAACAACATCTACAGAAAATTATCTGGCGTGATTCATCTACTGATGATATACAGGAGTTCAAACTTTGCACTGTTACGTACGGTACAAAACCCGCTAAGTGGTTGGCGCTCCGAACCCTCAAGCAACTCGCTATCGACGATGGCCACATGTATCCTGCTGCTGCAAAGGTGCTGGAAAACGATTTCTTTGTTGATGACCTTGTCAGCGGGGACCACTCATTTTTGGGAGCTAAGGAGCTACAGCAGTCCCTAATCGCTTTATTGAAGGGTGGGGGCATGAATTTACGCAAATGGTCCAGTAACTACCCAACTTTACTTGAAAACTTACCTAAAGAGCAGATTTCGACTACAAACAGCTATGATTTCAAAACCGAAGAACCTTCAAAAACTCTGGGACTACGCTGGAACACTGACACCGACACATTTCATCTTAACTGGTCTGTAAATGAAAATATAACTCGACTCACAAAAAGACTATTACTTTCGGAAATTTCAAAATTCTACGACCCGCTGGGCTGGCTCTCTCCCGTGACGATCACCGCAAAAATATTATTTCAAAAACTCTGGATGAGCAACATCGACTGGGATGATAAAGTTCCGCAAGATATTGAGTCGGAGTGGATAAGGCTAAAACAAGAACTGCCACTTATTAAAAACATAACTCTGAAGAGATGGATCAGCGAAACAAACCAATGTATTGAATTACTTGGCTTCTGTGACGCAAGCGAGAAAGCTTATGCTTGTGTTATCTACAGTCGCGTGACAAATAAATCCGGAGTTCCGATAATTACATTACTTGCATCTCGAACGAGGGTTGCCCCAACAAAACAAAAAACTACACTGCCTAGGCTTGAACTTTGTGGTGCCTTACTATTGGCTAAACTGATGGAAAAAACTCAACAAGCTTTACCTGGATACCAACTAATAACACGAGCCTGGTGTGACTCACAAGTCGTGTTAGCTTGGCTCCAAAGCGACACGACGAAGCGCGAGACATATGTAGCTAACAGAGTGTCAAAAATCAAACACATTATACCTACAAATCAATGGCGTTACGTCAAATCAGAACTGAACCCGGCTGACTGCGCTACGAGAGGGATGCTACCAAGCAAACTAGTCAACTTTGACTTATGGTTCTATGGACCTCCATTTCTAAAGGATGTAGAAACCGAAATTAACCTAAATTGCAATATATTCTATACCAACATCGGCGATGATCATCTGTGTCAAAAGGAAACTTTTTCGGAACCTGGAAAAGAACATTTTATAACTACATTATTACATAATTGTAGTTCATTGACACGAGTATTACGAATAACAGCATGGATACTTCGCTGTATAACAAATATGCGCGCCAAAGGGAAACCTGAAACTACTTACCTATCAACATGTGAAATACATGAAGCCAACAAAATGATTATAAAACACGTGCAGCAAACTTTTTTTTGGCAAGAATATAAACAACTTTTGTGCAATGGAATTCTTTCTAAGAAGAGTGTGATTTTAAAGTTGAGCCCTTAACTGGATAACGACAAAATCATACGCATCGGTGGTCGCCTACAGAACTCAAACTTACCTCTGGAAATGAAAAATCCCATCATATTACCACGCACTGGCCGATTTACGCAACTTTTAATAGAACAGTCGCATTTAACAACATTGCACGGAGGAGCGCGGCTTACGTTGACTCATATAAGGCAGAGATATTGGATCGTCGGAGGCAATAGGGCTGTCAAAACTCAACTGCGAAAATGTGTTCGTTGCCACCGTTTCAGTCAAACTGACAACCATCAGATTATGAGTCACCTGCCACAACAAAGAGTAACTCCATGTCGACCCTTCACTTTCACAGGAGTTGATTATTCTGGTTATATCGAACTCAAGATAAACAAAGGCAGAGGCGTTAAAACTTCAAAGGAATATATAGCAATATTTATATGTATGGTGACTAAGGCGGTACATATTGAACTTGTCTCGGATCTCAGCACTGAAACCTTTATTGCAGCCTTCCAGCGGATGAGTGCAAGACGTGGCACCCCTAAACACATGTACTCAGATTGCGGAACTAACTTCATTGGTGCTGCAAAGGTACTTCGTCAAGAATTTGAAGAATTCAAACAAATTATGACACCTGACTTCTTCAACCAACTAAATAAATTAGAAGTAGAATGGCATTTTAACGCCCCTGCCTGGCCTTCTGCTGGCGGCTTGTGGGAGGCAGCTGTCAAATCGATGAAACACCACCTACGTCGAGTACTAGGCGACCAGAAGCTCACCTACGAAGAGATGACTACTCTCTTGGCCAAGATCGAAGCGTGCTTAAACTCGAGGCCCTTGTGTCCACTTACTGAGGATCCTGAAGAATTCTACAACTGTTTGACTCCTGGTCATTTCCTTACCGGAAGCTCAATAATGACGTTACCATCATCCGATTACAATGATATTCATATCGGCGTTCGTCGCAGATGGCAACTGACAGAACAAATGTTCCAGCAATATTGGAAAAATTGGTCGAACGATTATCTGACTCAACTGCAAACTCGTAGCAAGTGGAACAAGCCCACAAACAACATTAAGGTCGGTGAAGTAGTATTGGTCAAGGATAACAACTTACCTCCAGGAAAATGGGCCTTGGGGCGCGTCCTCGAAACTCACCCTGGTTCTGACGGATATGTTCGAGTTACAACAATAAAAACTCATACGGGAATAACCAAGCGGCCAGTTATAAAATTATCCCGCCTGCCCATAGACACTGAAATTGAAAATCACGAGGATCTTTCATCTAAACAAGAAATAAAAACAAACTTGGAGCGCTCAAAGAAAAAAGGAAGAAACAAAACATCTAAGCTGTTATTAGCAATGTTAACCATGTTTACAGTTTTATCGGGATCATATGGCTCCATTGACGGCGTGTCGTCAAGCGCTCAAATTACTAACTTCGAACGTGAGCGCCCTATCTACTATGACGCAATGGGTAAAATGCAATTGATGCACGATGAATGGATACTCATTATGTATTATAACATAACAAACTACTGGGAAGGAACTCGTCGTATTGAACATTATTTTGATACTGTGAAGAACTTGTGCTACAGAACTAACTTACTATACTGCAGAGCGACAACAGAACAGCTAAGTCACGAAATGGAACTTCTAGATTATTATAACACAATTCTTATTAATCCTCATAAACATTTAAGTAACAGGAAGAAACGTGGCTTATTGGATGGAGTGGGTTATGTAGCGAACAGCTTATTTGGAGTTTTAGATCAACGGTTCGCCCATAAATACGAAAATGATATACGAGCCATCCATACCAATGAAGACTTTTTACTGGAGCTAATAAAAAACCAAACAAGTATCGTCGAACTGGAAAATAAAGCGCTGAGAAAAAGTGAAGATAATATTCAACGTCAGTTTAATATGATCGAGAACTTCCTGAATCAAACTGAACTAAATATGGCGAGATTGAAGACAGAAATGCAAATAGTTTCCGCCAACTCCTATTTCAACTCTGTTTCGATGACAGCGTATTTACTCATGAACAACCTAAGATCTTTCCAAAATATGTTATTCGACTCGCTCACTAATGTCTATCGAGGACACATAGATGTGCATATGATTTCTCCTGCTCATCTCATACAACAATTAACGGACATATCTGGGAGCATACCAAAGGACTTATCACTACCAGTGCAAAACTACAAGGAAGATATAAAGGAACTCTACACTTTGATTTATGTGAGAGCTCGAGTCACTGAGAACTATGTTATTTTCGAAATGCACATACCGCTAATAACTAATGAAGATTTCAATTTATATCAAATTATACCATTACCTGTCAAATTCGAGGAGATGGACACATCATACGTACAGACAACTTTCAAATATATTGCAGTGAATTTGGAGAAAAATATATACATTTCACTCAATGATGAAGATCTCGAGCACTGCCGACAACAAAGATCGGACAAATTCATATGCAAAACAAACAAACCTGTTTTCAATATGCATAGCAAAACAGCTCCGTGCGAAGCGAAACTGCTTTCGCATCAAAATGACCAGCCCTGTGACGTCGAACGCGCCTCATGCAAGAACGCGTGGATCGAGTTACATTCTCCTAACAAGTGGCTTACCATATGTTGTGATACGTGTTCATTACGTACCATATGCAATAGTGACGTTACATCACACACCATGACGTCATCAGGAATAGTGACGTTACCTCAGGGATGCCTGCTGCAATCTGAGGATTTTACAATCTACTCCCACAATCACTACAGCAGCCGCATGAAGATGAATTATAACATCGCAGCTAATACATTGGATACATCAGTAAACAAGATAGTAAACTTAACTTATAATCACACGCCACGTATGGTGTTTCAATCTACAGCTCGTGAAACGGAAGGGATCGAAGAAGACATTACTCGTTTGAAAGACAACGAAAAATTGACAACAATATCAAGTCATGACGTACATCAATATATTATTAGTTACGTGTTACTGACGTCAGCTGTTGCAATTTTGCTTGTGTTGGTTGTAAGGAAATACTGCCCTCACTGTTTGAAGAAAAACAACACAATCTCGAATAACAACCAACGACCACATCCTACAGACATCGAACTTCAAACCTTTTACCGAAGACATGACATGCAGAGGGACAACATTGAAGCAGAAGCTCCCCCGAAGAAGTCTCCTCGGAGTCTCAACGCCGGAACAAGCAACGCTACATTCAATTTCGATTAAAATAACAATTTTTGCTTTGTTAATATTTATTATTAAATTTTAAGGCTATTCCTTTCTCTTTTGTCATGTCAACCTTTTATCTCTTTTCTTTGTTTTTCTCGGGTTGCCAAGATGTACAGTTTACTTGTACATAAAAATTTGCTAACACCGCGAACGTCACTCAGGCCGCGTCAATGACCCGCGTTTACCTAGAGTGTCACATTATCGTAATTATAAATTATTATTTCTTTATTTAAAGACAGTGCAATTAGAAACGCGAACTAATTAACACACATTAGAGACAAGAATAGCCTACACCTTAACTGTAACTTTGTTTACAATATATCTCGGTATTTATCTCTCTCTGATCTTTTTCTTCTGCACTCCAATTAACTAAATCTCAACAACAACTACATTAAAAGGTGTACAAACTGTACATTCATAATTTATTGATAATGGCGTCTATCAATAATGGTGTCTAACTAGTGTGTGACGAGTACATAACCGCGTGCAATGGAAGTAAACTTTCTCAGATTACAAACAAAATACAAATGATATTTAGACATTTTGACGAATCCTAAAGACTATATAACCAAAGTTATAAGTCTATTAAAATTGTGTAACTGTTGCTAATGTGACTTTGAATCGAACCTGCTATTTGTATCCTCCTAACATTATAAATGTGAAAGCTTGTATGTTTGTTACTCAATCACGCAAAAACTGCTGAACGAATTTAGTTGAAATTTGGTATATGGATGGTTTATTACCTGGGTTGAGAGACAGGATACTTTTTTATCCCGGATAAACTACAGCTTGACGTGAGATTCGGAAAAAAGTAAAGTTAACTCGAACGAACGAAATCGCAAGCGACCGCTAGTAAAGATATAAGCAGCACTCACTGGACAGGAACTCGAGCATGGGGCTGGCGATGGCCTGGGTGTCGGAGATCTTGGAGAGGTCGAGCAGCACCTCGGGCAGCATCCGCACCATCGTCTCGCGCATCTCCAGCGTGAAGATGGTCAGCGCGTTAATGTACGGTTGTGGGGTGCGGAGCACTGGTTTCAATCACAAGTAAAAATTCGAATTTAGGAACATCAAAATAACAAAAACTTGTAAATACATAAATTAACTTAGCAAAAAAGGTTATTCCAATTATTTTTAATCTAACCATATTTGAATGTACACACAAGCCTAGATACCGTATTAACAGCACGGAAGCGCCCCGAAAGGTATCTATGTACTACATTATGGTAGAAAAAGAAAAGTAGTCATTGTGTATGTGTGTAGTGACGAGTGTTCTCACTACACTCGTACACAATGACTGCTTTGTCAGTCAACAATCTGACATTATAGTCACGCACACATAGTATATAACACGAACATTTTTTTCCTTAGTTAATATGAATTGCTCTTTCTAGGCGTGTATATAATAAAAATAAGGTACTCATATTAGTAGGAATAAAAATGTATAATAATAATATAATTTTATTACTCTGCACAACTTACATAATATGGGACGCTATATAAGGTGGAAATAATCTTACATAAGGTGCCTGAAATAGGTATGGCAATACCTGTGTTACATACCTATTTCAGGCACCAGTATTATTATAAATTGTGTTTAAAATTATTTTTTTGTTTAGACTGCAGAGACAAATGGTAGCTTTAAAAGTATTGCTCACTTTTACTTTACATATTTTGTTTCTACAACAATTTTGATACAAGTATGTATTATATTACATGTTTTATTCATGAATGTATTTGAGTGTGAACGAAAAATGAAGACTTGTGTAAAATTTGTTGTAAACGAAGGGTAAGGCTGTTGTAATGAAATTAGTAATATATATATATATATATATATATATATGGGGCTGTGGAGCTTCATATAGATAGACGGAGGCCGCACCCATGCCGTGCCGGAGCAGGCAGCGCACGATCCGCTGCTGCGTGGCGGGCTCGAGGGAGGGGTGGTAGGGCGCGAGGGCACACAGGGCGGGCAGCACGTGTCCGTGGAACTCGGAGAGGGGCGGGCGCGTGTTGCCCGCGCCGCCCGCGCCGCCCGCCCCGCCCGTCCCGCCCGCCCCGCCCGCGCCGCCCGCGCCGCCCAGGGAGCTGCCCCGCGCCTCCGTGTAGTACAGCGTGCGGTCCGTCACCTGCACAACAACAATATACATCAACATTGGATAACAATAACCAAAATATGTTTAACTTTATATTCAGCACGACGATTATAATGATATCACACCTGACGTTCAGTGAACTAGTTATATGGAGTGGCAGATTTAAATATAATAATAAATGGGTGCGTGTACTTATGTAGGCGCGTGAGAAGTTATCCTTCTTTGGCATCGTTTAAAATTAGTTTTTAATTGCATGCAAATAATTAATTACAATAAATTAATAAAAAGTCTGGAAAAGGACACAGTCAATAAAGTTCAGTTTTAATTTGAAAAAATAAATAAATAATCAAAATATTCAATTAAAATCGCTACTGAATATAATTTATTAGAACATATGTGATTTGCACTTGTATGAAACTCAAACACGTATTCCGAATATACAAACTAGAAACATGTGGATAAATATTATAAACTAGCGGCCCGCCCTCGCTTCGCTTCGGTGTAGAGCTGAAGTGTAGACTACAGTTTTTGTTCTCAGACTTGTATTATACACAATGACATTCATCTATGATTCTTCTTATACCTGCATGCAAAGTCTCAGCCCGATCGGTTTAAAATTGATAAAGTTTCATACAAACTTTCATTCCTTATTTTATCCCCTTGGGATTTTCTTTATATTTTTTTCCGTAAGAACCTTGTACAGAGTATTAGAAAACTACAAAAAAAAAAACAGCCAAATCGGTCAAGCCGTTTTCATGTTATGTCGTGACAACGGAAAACGGGTTTCATTTATATATATATAGATATGAAAACAGTCTCTGTTCTAAATTCAAAACTCGTAACTTTTCCCGATGTTTGTTGCACGTGTTTCCCGCGCTAGGACCGCGAGTGGCCGCGCATGCGTACGGTGCGGCGGGCGACGCGGTAATGGCAGCGCGGCACATGAAGTTGGTCGCTAAAGCGACCAACTTCATGGTGTTAATTTTTTGTGTTACAGATGCGCGCGCATCTTAAAATTTCACTCTCATAATTTTTTTATAACGCGCCTAAAGAAGTATAACTTCAATTATGACGTCTCAAAGTAATGAGGTTCATTACTAGGCCAGCTAATTAACACTATAATGATCTCATAAGCTTTTTAATTAATAAACTTTTTAAAGAATCGAAATCGGTTCATTCGTTGCGATTTTATAACTAATTTTATGGTAGTCCATATTCACCGGCGGCTGAAACGTGTGACGTCATAAAACCCGATCGTGGTTTAGTAGCGTCTCTACGCACGCTCGCGCTCCAGCGCTAAAGCTCTGTGACGTCCGTCATTATGCGGCCAGCGCAAAATTCGTTAAGTAATTTGGTCTTAACTTCGTCAATATTTGTCGTAGAACAAAAATTTAATCACCGTATTTTATGGAATCCCTAGCTCTATAAACTTGCATTCTCAACTAAAATCGTTACGGATCAGTGAAGTGACTCGAGGTGTTTTGTCACCTCCTTATCGTTAATGCCGGTCGACCTGGCAGCTGCGCTCGTGCGCGGTACGTACTGTTACATCCCTTAGATGTTAGCTGTTGAGCTGACAGGCCAGCTGATGCTGCAGCATCAGCATTTTGTCCCCAGCCGACGCGCTCGCCTCTCGAGCGCGCCAGTCTCTCCCGAACCTCCGTGACGGCTGCCAAATTCACCTACACTATAATTTCTATGTTTAATTTCATTAATCCTTTTTTTTTAAAACGCCAATTCCGAGGCTCGATATAACATTGGTGGCAGCGGTGGGATCCAAAAAGTGGATCCTCGGTACGTCTCCCGAATCAGTGTCAGTGAATTAAAAGTTTAATCCGCCGCATCCCACAGTATCGCCGCTCGCCTATTCCTACTATATCCGGACGCTGTGCCCATTATATTCGCTACACTGCATTACTCCGACGCCGAACCCGAAACTACGAAGAAACTTAGAAAGGAATCACTGTGTCTAAATTCAAATTCAGTGCATTAAGAAAGTACACCGTACATGTGAACATTCAACTCTGTACTGCTCCGACGCCGATCTTGAAATTACAAAGAAACCCAGAAACAAATCGCCGTATTCAGTTTCATATTCAGTGCTACAAAAGTGCGCCGTTCCTGTGAAAAGTGTGAACATTCGTGTAATAATCGTTCGCGACGCCCTTATCGCCCAAGAATGCGATCAACGCTTCCTGTCGCCGTCACCGTGCTCAGTGCTTATACAACATTGTTGCAGTGAGTCTGACTCTTTGTTTGTACTATTACTCTGTGTCTTTGTTCCGTAATTAAGTTCTATTGTATTCTAAATCATTATTATTCAGTTGTACCTTAGATTACTAACTATTACTTATAATTAGGTTGCTTAAACTACTGTTAATTTTACCAGGTAAGAAATTTCTAAACTCGTGTTAAACAAAATGGATAACAAAGTAGAAGGATTAGATTATGAACTTCCACTAGACACCGAAGACGAAAGGGGCCTAAGTCCATGCCCAAGCGAAAGGAGAACGCGCTCAAAGGCCCAAAAGGCGCCGCCTCCTCCACAAAGTTTAGACTTAGGTATATTACTCAAGTTTATAAAGCCCTACGATGGCAGTAGGGACACCCTAAACTCATTTATTATAAATTGTAACAATGCATACGATTTGGCTAACAATGCTCAAAAGCCAATACTCTTCAAATATATACTTTGCCAGCTCCAGGGAAAGGCCGAGGTAGCATGCTCCATTAAAGATTTTTATAATTGGGAACAACTAAAGGAGTTTCTCAAGACACAGTTTAGTGAGAGAAAACACTACTCGCATTTATTAACTGAATTACAAGAAAGTAGGCAATCACCTAACGAAAACGTGAACCAATATGCCCTCCGCATCGAAACATACTTGTCCCAGCTTCTAACAGAAATAACCTTGAATAATACTAAACTAAAGGAACTCCCAGGCCGCACAGCAGCCATGGAGGAGTTAGCACTATACCATTTTCTCATGGGGTTACACCCGCGTATTTCAAACATCGTAAGATGTAAAACTCCTAAGACACTCAACGAAGCAACAAACTTTGCTATATCAGAAGAACGCATCCAACAGACCCTTTATAAGAGAGGTAATTTCACAGATAGCAAACCTGTGAATAAAAACCTACGACCTTCTAATGCGAACCCACAATATCGATCCCAACCGTCGACATCGACGTTTGCTAGGCCGACTCATAATTACCAACCTCAACCCTCTACTATTACCTGCAGATACTGCAAGTTCCCAGGCCATAGCATCGAGAACTGCCGCAAGCGGGAATATAATAATAAACTCCGTAGCCAACAACCCTCGAGTTCCCATTCCAACTTCAACCCCGTTAGAAGGGTCAATTTCAATCATGAGCCAGAAAACGAGGGTCATGATGAGGTAGATTTCGAGGCACCGAACGGTAACGATTTAAACTAGTTAGCACCTCGTTCGGGTGTCGCACGAGTCGCCTCCTAAGTCAAGAAAAAGACACCTCTGTGTCCATGGCCTCTCAAAACACTGAATCCAATACCGAATCTTCTATGCCCATTGTATCCAAATCCATGGCCATTGGAACCACCATATACTCTACCAAATCTACTAAATCCACTGAATCCAATGCATACTCTACCAAACCTACTAAATCCACTGAATCCAATGCATACTCTACCAAACCTACTAAATCCACTGAATCCAATGCACACTCTACCAAACCTACTAAATCCACTGAATCCAATGCACACTCTACCATACCTACTAAATCCACTGAATCCAATGCACACTCTACCAAATCTACTAAATCCACTGAATCCAATGCATACTCTACCAAACCTACTAAATCCACTGAATCCAATGCATACTCTACCAAACCTACTAAATCCACTGAATCCAATGCACACTCTACCATATCTACTAAAGCCACTGAATCCAATGCATATCCTACCAAATCTACTAAATCCACTGAATCTAATGCATACCCTACCAAATCTACTAAACCCACCGAATCCAATGCCAATTATGCCAACTCCACAGAAGCCGTAGATGTTTACGAAATCTCCTTCGATCCCTCGAAAAAATCCTTACCATACGTAATAGTGAACAGTACTGCATCCGAACTTCCATTGACTCTCCTCGTAGACACTGGCTCCTCCATTAGCCTTGTAAAGGATACTAGCCTAAAACCAAACATTAATCTTCAAAAGGAGATCCTCAACTTGAAGGGCCTCACCTCCACTACAACAAAGGACAACTTAATAAAAACCTCTGGATCCTTCAACTTAAAACTATTGCTCAACGACAAAAACCCTAAGCACAACATAACGCATAACTTCCACGTTGTGAGCAATCTCGAATTACCATACGACGGCATCATTGGCAATGACCTCCTTAACAATGCCCAAGGAAACATCGACTTTACGTCTAACACCCTAAAAGTTAAGCAATACCAAGTCCCAATTCGCTTCCAAGAGCCGTACTTCGTTATCCCCGCTCGCACCGAAAAAGTAATCGAAACCACTGTCTCAAATCCACAACTCAAGCAAGGGCTCATTCTCGATCAAAGTCCATGTCGAAACCTTCTAATTGCTAACTGTTTGGTAAAGGTCAAAGAAAATAATAAAGTCAATTTGACAGTAGCTAATCTCTCTGAATCCCCTGTAACGCTAAAATCGGATCTCAATCTCACTCTTTCTAGGGCAACAACCCTTAACCACGATAACCTCGCATCTGTCAATCCCTCTGTATCCTACCCAGAGAACAAGAATTCTGCTGAAAGAACACGTCGGGTCTTAGACCTCCTCCGCATCGACCACCTCAACGAGGAAGAAGCTGACGCCCTGCTCCACCTCTGTGCAGATTATTCCGACATTTTCCACCTCCCGGACGAAAGATTGTCTCATACTAACGCCATCAGCCATGACATTAAAACGACCACAGAACAACCTATCCACACCAAATCCTATAGATTTCCCGAAGTCCACAAACAAGAAGTCCAGAAACAAATGAGCAAGATGCTCGAACAAAATATAA